ACCTATTTTCGTGGATATAAGGATTCACACCGAATTTCGTCAAAGATAGAAAACGAAATTTTTTTTTTATGTCTCAGATGTTTCCTCAGATATTCTACAAAATAATTAAAATTGGTTTATTTCGATTTTCTTTATGAATCCTTCACTTTGACCCATATTTCATGAGCAACCATCTCAGCAACGGCGGCAGAATGCGTCATTTTTCGTGTACAATGTTTGATCTATAAATAAGTCTAGAAAAACACATTGTGTGTATGGATACCGGGTGGTACAATTAACTTCTCTTAGTATTCATCTTTAATATCAATTCATTATAACTAGTGCCAATTCCTTCAAAGAACCACGATAAAAAAATAGTTACTGACAAAATAAGATATGTAGCGTGATTTATTGCTAAAAGTCACTGAAACAACACAAGAATATGGTCCACTTTGTGTTTCATAGAAATTTTCTGCTGACATAGAATCCGCTAGTTGATCACGTGACTTCATTCGTTGGAATATATTCTAGCAGACGACACTTGGAATTCCGATTACCGCTTGGGATTATAAGGAAATTCGGCCGATGGTGACGTTTGGTAATAACTGAAATCCGACATTTTGTATTTGTCAAAGTATACATTAATACATTTTACCTTGCTTGAAACTACTGGATTCATTCTACTAGCTGACATTGTAGAGAAAACCCATGTTTATCAAAACAAGCTAATGCGGAGGTCGCGCATGGTCGCTCATGTAAATTATTAATCCTTTCCGGAAGTCCACGAATAATAGGTTTCCACGAAATTAGGTTACTTGTGTACACATATTCAAGACCCAAAATAAACCCTTCTCTCTTGGACGAGGGCGCTCAGTGAAGTAGTGACGGAAGCAATCCTGAAGTGTAAATTTGTTAAATTGTGGCAAGATTACCCCTCCCCAGCCTCTGCATTAGGCCTATCATGTCGCCTTAAGTCGAAACTCAAAGACAAGCGTAAACAAAGAATTGTTACAGCCCTTGGACACATTGGTAAGATCTGTATTAATCAAGCTGCTAAGATCAACGTGAGCTTAAGTAGCTTATGATCAAAATAGCAAATTCAAGAATGTTTAGGAGGTATGAGCAGATATGCGGACCAGTATGATAGTAACTGGGCGTGTAGGCAATAGGTTTGACAATGTAGGCTACGTTGATATTATGGCATGCCGCATTTTCACTGCCTTAAAAATTGGCTGTGTACGATAATTTATTGCAGTACATGTGTTGTGTGGGGATTAAAATAGGGTATGAAACAACAACCTATGTTATATTTTGATACCGGTATTTTTTTTTGTTGCGGATATTTTCAGAAATAGTCTGGACCTGTTCCTGTGTCAAATTGAATCGGTAAATATGGCTCACACGGCCTCTTTAAACATTATATTGTAAAAAATAAAGTGAATAGACTCAATAAACTATTCATTTATGTAAAGAATATGTATTAAGTTTTTCTTCCTCATTCTTACAACTCACTTGATTTACTGTTGTCATATATTTACATAGCAAGACCTCTATTTATATGAATATATCATCAACAATAGACGTTGATCTGGTTTGGGTTTAATTGTTACGGACATGAAATGAATTTACCAACATGTTATTGTCCTGAAAAGCAATGTTCCTACATTGCTGTTCATATTATTTAAAGTGATACTACGTCTTAGAATGAACATGAAATTTAAAATCTCCAGGAAGGTCAATATGAGTAATATTCATTAGTGATCTTACCTGGTGTCATAAAGTTACAACAGAATCCCTGTAACATGTGGGAAATTCATAAAACTAAGTAATTATTGAAAAACGCTTAATCTTAATATGAAGCGTTTTTCAATAGTTAGTTGTATATTTATAGATGATTACTAAGTTTTTTGGATTTATCAGATTATATTAGAATCCTGTTATTTATAACACCAGGTATGTCTACTGTTGAATATATGTCTAAGACGTAATATTTCCTGTAATATGAATAAAGTCTACTACTGGCAAGTGAAAGGAATAAAATGTAGTAACTAGGAAATATTTCAAGTTAATTCTGTATTCAGGCCAAGTTATTTCAATGTGACATGACTCAATACCTGCACTAACGTATCATACTTATACATGACGTTGACAATAATAATGTGTCCTAACTGTATTCAATTATGTTTACTGTGCTGTATTAAATCTTTCCCCATCTTGCAAGATAAAAACAACTTTTGATTTTCACTATGATAAGATACATCAATCAGATTAAATCTTTTGGTTTCAAGATATCACTTAGCGCACAGTGCGTATATAAAGTCATCCAACGAAAAAAAACAGTAAACATATTGCATAATCTTTTATAGAACATATTCATTCAAAATCTTATTTGCTTCAGTTAATTTTACCACAGATGAATGATTCCCATGATTAATCTGTTAACATAATTATGTTTATGAATTTCAATCATATTAGACTAATCATCATTTACAATAGTCAACTCTTTTTATCAGGCTTACAGTGGACATTTGACTCAATATCTACTTGCAGAATGTGACGACAACGCATTACATTTAAACTTATTTTGTATAAAACATGATTACTATTATGAACTAGATCACATTATACAGAATTATAACAGAATTATTACAGAAAGTGTAAGGGGAAGTAACAACATAATATTAGTACAATAAAGACAAAAAAAAAAAACAATCAAACGAGAATCTGATCATACAAGGGAGATAACTCCACTTTAAATCCAAACAACATGAGCCAACAATTAGTTTATACTTATTTACTCCGTCCATAACGTGAGTATTTTCAAACTGACACACACATACACATCATTCACAGTCACAGATAATCCTTATTCAATCAGAACACATATTAGTCCAAAGCTGAATTTCTTAACTTAGCTTTCCTTTATATCTATTCCAGATATCATTCATTATCACAATTTCATCTCCCAACCACTCATTCAATATCTATATCCTCTGCAAATGATGTTGTACAACTAAATACTCCTGAAAAATACATATTCATACAGGCCTTTAAATAGAAGTTTGGGATATATCTGACCAATTAGAGATTGTATCTAACCTGCATTATTGAAAACCATTTTATTCTGATTAAAAACAACATTAGACATTTCATTTAATGTGATTTAATTGATTCTATTGATAAAATAAAGATGAAACTGTCTGTAATTTTGTTTAAACACGAAGTTCGAGTTCTGTTCTATTAGATATTTAAGAGAAAAAAGGGAAAAAAACTTTAATGTATATCTGTTAAAATTATACACTACCTGAAAATTGGTGAATAATAACGAACGGGAAATATATAATTGTCTTTGATCTGTATCATATCTCCACAGATGTAATACTTTTCCTTCAAATATAAATATATCTAATTTATTATTAACAAGCTGTTGTGGAGTAATCATGCCCTTTTTCCTTTAACCTATAGAAATAATTGTATCCACATCCATGTCATTATTAATATTCTTATTGGCAGTAATTACCAATAAAATCATTATATATATCATATTGTTAATAGCAACTTGGGCGTGACAACAATCTAAACTTCCATTGAATTATTATGTTGATATGCAGAAGTCAGATTTGCATTCTTAAAATAATTTAGATGTTGAAACTGAGCTAGTAAAGCATATATTTAAATGACAATACCCCTATAACCTAAACAAATAGTTTCATATCTCAATAGAAGAAAAAACACATGGTTCAAGGCCTCTGAAGCTTTCTATGAAAGTGCCGGGCTGAGAATGGGCAACAGAATTGTCAAAGTGGAATCAAGGTAATTCTTTCTCATGTATATTGATAAGAAATATGAAAGATGGGTGATGGGAATTGACTTCCCTGGCCCCCATGGAAAAAACCACACTGTTTCAAGGCAACAGTTTCATTTTCATACAATTGGAAAATGCTTATCTGAGACAATACTGAAAGAGTATCAGAAGATTACAGAATCTCACCTAAAACAGTTTCAGAATAATTCCCAGTGGAATCAGCTATAAAATAATTTCCTTCAACACAACTTATCTGATCTAATTTATTAACATTAATTAGTAAATCTTCTGTTAACTGGGTAAATAATGCTGTTCCACTTGTTTTCCAGTTCTCTGTATGATAAACATATGAACTATTCTTTACAGGCACAAAATTACGACCTGCAATTTACAAAAAGATAGAACTCAGAAATATCAGGCAACATAAAATACAGATAATACAGTCTTTATCCTTATACAGGATACCTTTGCAATTTATTAAAAGATCAAAAAAACAAAAACTATTTATATTATTTTAACAACAGTTTTAAAAAGAATCCCTACATTGTAAACTAAATGAAATATATATTTCCAGACAGAATCAAAATTGTCATGACCCATCAAAAACTGTTAAAAGGGGTCAGAAGTTTATTAATGAACATTTCATATATATTTAGTCCCTTAGACTTCAAATCTAAAGAAAATCGTTATCTAACAAAGCATTTGATTGGTTAAATAAGCTTATTCTTATTGAATAACCAAAAACATGAGATGCATAAAAAGTTCGTCACATCATGAATGGTAAGTGGGGTCAACTGCAAAAAGCACATGAAACAGAAAATTCTGATTTCCATTTCATTGAAATTGGAAATATTGAGACCTGAAATTCAGTTTGAAAGGTTCAGTTTAAAATCTCATCCATCATGGAGAATAAGTTCAACATGTCCAACTTAAAATAGGTCAGCTGTTTGAAGATAGCATAGAATGAAACTCTGAGTAATAACATGAATCAAGTTCTGTTTTAAATATTTCTATTTACTGCTCATAATAAATACAGTAAATAATAATTAAATGTAATGAAATGTAAATATTGTTTATATTTCACCTAATGACTCAAAACATTTCAATCTATTAGCTTTCAGTTTTAAAGAGATAATTCTGTATCTCTGATGTATTCAAATAATAAATTTGATATTTTTACTCGGATATATGTACTTTATGTCCTAATGTTACATTATATAATAGTAAATGTTTTACATAATATATAACCATGGTAACAAATTAATTCAAATTACTTAAAGGGACTTAAAGAGGTTTTCGAAATTTCTTATGTCTGGCATATTTTAGATGTAGACAGAGGACATATTGCTGAGTCAATTTTCACAGAAAAGCGCATAAATCTATTACTCTTTTTCGATTTCCAACTGACAAGGGATCTTTATCCATGATTATCTTTATGATTGTCCCATCTAAAGACATAGATAACTGCATGCAAACACTGATGAAGGGAATGTAGGGTGAAAAATCTAAGAATATTGACTGAATCCTGATTCTCCACGATAGCAAGATAGAAAGCAACCACATATCCAATGAGGTTCTATCGTCTGTTGGTACTTCACATGACATCATTTGCTTAGTTACAACTGGTGGCTGTGGGTGCAAGTCTCAAAAGTGAAAAGTGAAAGTCTGATGACCTTGAATAAGTCATCTTCAGTCATAATTCCAGTCGACTCAGCCGTAAATGGGTACGGTAATCTGGAAAAGATCAATGCCAATAGGTTTGGTCAAGAACCAGCTGGTAGAAAGGATCCTAAATTGTGAACATAAGTTCTTATCCTTGTAAAATATAGTTGTTTCTTCCTTTCTTTCTTGTTTAAAAATGTAGTTACTGGTTCATTTAGGAAAATATTACATATAGTCTTTTTCTAATTAATAATTAAAATAATCTGATTATCACAATGTCTGTATGTATACAATAATCAATATATAGAAGTAATTATTTTCAATTCAAAGAGAGAAAATAATAGTTAATCATAATAATTAAAACATTGGTAGGTTTCTGGTAGTTACAACTATCATCAAGTGCCCATGTCTTTTGATACAGGTAAAAAGAACTAAGACTGTTTTAAGTGTTGTCAAGTTCAACATATCATCTGCAGGTTGAATTTTCACTTATTTTGGTGCATAGTTGGCTAAGATTGTATCTCAACTATTTCAACCAATGTGTGGAAAGCAGTGATTCTGATACCAAGGACATTCTCATTTCTACACACCTGTAGTGTTTTGGTCGGTTTAATGTTTACTATAAATCTCCTGTCAGCATATGGTCATTTGAAATATAAATATTATATAGTCAACACTTGTGGCCTTGTAGTGCCTATATTTTAGCAATATATGTATATCTCTCCTTGTATATTTATACTGTTATAATCGACCAGTTATTGGTGAAATCCTGGTAAATAACACATTGATATGTAACATTTGGCAGATCAATGGGGTGAAAAGTTTAACATTGTCAATAATCATATGATAGTCATATTTTCATAATCATATCACAATACTATTTAAAGATGATATGCTAGGCATTTGCAATAACTCTTAAACAATTTCTCAAATAATTGAACTATCATTTTGTTAAAATGTGATTAATTCTTGGTCACTGATGCAACATATGGGTTTTATGGTGTTCATACCAAGACCTAAGTCAGCCATGTTCCATCCTTAACATCTAAAAAGAAACAATATGTAATAAATAAAAAAAAAAATAAACTCACCGAAAATTGTTTCATTATTATTAGAAACTGTTGCTGCTGTAAAACATGATTCCCTGTCATTCATTTTCCGTTTCTTTGATAAATAACATTCGCCATCACTGTCACTCCACGAGTCACTGTTCATATTCTAGTCTTTATCTTTTTGAATGTGATATCTAAATATAAACCTATGGATATTATTTCTTGCCTGTAGGTTGACATACTCAGGTGACTGGAGCCCTTAACTTAATTTAGGATTTCAAAAACAGAATGAATTAGACTGAAGTAATTGATTGATCAATCAGATGACTAGAACACTAAAATCATAAAGATTTCTAGAAACAGGCTCCTGTTTATAATTATAAGATTCAGAAATTTAAAAATGTACCATAATATTCAAAATATCCATAGAGTACAAAATATTTTAAATATCAAATTTGAAAAAATGCTTTCCTTACTGGAAAAGATTGAATATACTTAGCAAGATATGTCTATCAAAATTATCAACCTTTTAAATCATCAATTTTCTCAATTATTCATCTTTATTAAGAATTCAAGCTACGCTCAGTGATTTCCTATACATGTCTCTGATAGCTGTCTAAGTAGGCCAATGTTAACTATAGGTTATCACTCAACAGGCTAAATATCTGTTCTGTCTCCTACACTATAGTGCTGCTATAAAGCCTGTGTCAACCTGGAAATACATGAATTATATCTGTTACAATTGACCATGATATGACTTCACGATCTTAACCAATTAAAGGCTAATTACCCAATTTAAATTATGATTGGCCAATATCACTTTGCTAACAGCTTGCAAGGCATACTTTCTGATTCACCTTTGACATTTTTGTGCATTTACCAACCCACTTTAATACCCTGATTAAAGTTTCAATCACTATCAATAAGATAGCTTGCCAGGGAAGGTAATATACGCCCACTTCCAGCTTGATTTTGATTAAAAATATTTGACGTTACAGTAACAATCATCAGTATGAAATATTCAACTTTTTGGGGTAATACTGAACATTATTACCAAGTTTTGCCAAGGTCCAACAAGAATCGTGTCTTTTAGAGTTGTCAAAAACAAGGGCATTAACTCATAAAATATTTTCGATTTGTAATATCAGTTCATCCAAGGGTGATAAGAAACAATTTTCAAGAACAGAGCATAACTCATACTAAATATTTTTCAATTCTTCTGATTTTCAATAGGGCTCATCCTTGGATGATTATAAACACTCACACTAAGTTTTGTCAAAATCCAGCAAGAATTGTGCCAGAAGAGTGTTTAAGAGCTAAAAATTGAAAATGTTATTATGAACAATGGCAATAACTCAAACTAAATATTGTTCCATTGTTCTGATTTTCAGTAGGGTTCATCCTTGGGTGATTACAAACACTCAACCAAGTTTAGTCAAAATACATCAAGAATTGTGTCTTCTAAAGTGTTAACAAAGCTAAATATTGAAGGGATCAACCTTTGGTGATTACAAAAACTCAACCAAATTCTGTCAAAATTCGTCAAGAAATATTTTTCATGAAATCCAGTCGCATACACAATACGATAATCAAAATCACCATGTTCAATTGACAAGTACTGTATCCACCTAAATTAAATAATAAAAATCAGACCTGCTCTGATAATGTAGCTTGACAAGTCTTTTTGAGTTTCACTCTCATATTTCCTACAAAAAGTGTCTTATAGAAGTTTACACTTGAAACTCGATTCTTTTTCAAATTCATCCATGTGGACAGTCTCATCAACATAGACCTCCAATATTTACACAGTAAGTTCAACTGTGACTATTTATATTTCCAGTCTCTTTATAGCCATGATAATTTTATAGACAACCAATTAAACCCCTGGATTAAGGTCACAACTCCAAGTTACAGTAATTTTTGGCAGAGTTTGTAGACATTATCATAAAAATTAGCCTATTGGCCACGGTAGCCTGGGCATTGATCTTTTTATAATACTAAAAAAAAGTAATTCTAAAAAGAAAGTAATACTAAAAAAAAGGCATGGATTGGATAGAAGAATTTTATTTTGAGAATCAAAAGAAGAAAATAAGGAATATATTATCTGGTAGTTTCAACTTGCTGATTCATACAAAATTTCTTCAAGCTTATATGAAAAATTAAATAGGAAGCTTAAAATATTGTTAAATTATATATATGTGATATCAGACAGTCTATGATGAGCTTATTCAGAATGTCAAACTACAAGGCTAGTCTCATGTTCTAGGGCCTAGTTGTAGTAGAGCTTGTATATGAAATTATTTCCATTATACCACAACAGAGAATTTGAAAACCTTTGCTCTTGTTAATTATTGACAGTAGGAAAGGTAAATGAATTTGTTGATACATAAGGGAGCCATGGTCTTGAGCTTGTGGATCTAATGTCCTGTTCCTTGTAAGATGGTAGCCGAAATCTGGCAGCTATGTCTTCTGGAAGATGGTCGGATGTGTCATGGAAACCCCGCCTGTAGACTTTTGTTATGGTTTTCGTTACCCAGTTCAGCGAAATCTTATAGGTGTAACATCTTAGAAAGTAATATTTTCTTGAAAGCAATGAAGTCGAAAAAAAGACTTCAGAGAGAAGGAATGACTTCCTCGAAAATACCCTTTCTTTCGTCAGAGCTCTGGTTTTGTTACCCCTGGCTCTGGACTGGAGAGTTCAATTAAGAAAGAAACCGATCGGACCTAAGAAAGGGTATTTTCGAGGAACTACTAATAATACTTTTTGTAGTTATATATCATCAACTTGTTTTGATAGAAAACTGTGGGCTTTTTTTTATCAATCTCAATGACAATTTGATATTACAGAATACAGGTAGCCTAGGCCCTATATAATATTCAAAAATATCACTTAACACTGTCGTCACAAGTTTCGTGACACTGAAAGATTGACTGTGACAGTTTATTTCCACTTTCAGTTATTTCTAAGAGCTTGACAGTTTCCCAAAAGCAAAACATTAAGTAAGTATATAATTCTTTGCAAGGTTACGGTCGAAATACATTCATAACATACATTTTAATAAGATACCTTACCAAACTTTGGCGCAGGCTTTCTTTTTGTTTACCAATAGTTGTCCAGACGTAGTTGACCTACTTGGTTATCCAGACGTCTTTGACCTAATTATACTGCAGTTCTATGCCAATGGTTTCAACATAGAGTTATAGTTGGTTTATGTATTGGTTTCAATGTGTTCTGTATACCAGTCAACTCGTCTACGTGTCAACTCGTCCACAAAAATTTTGTCGGAGATAAATCGTCTAAAAAATAGTCTACAAAATATAACTGGACTAAGCGATAGCTTTACTGATAATGATTACGAGAGACCATTTGATCCATATTTGTAAATAATATGGAAGAGAATGGGAATCACTTTGTATTATTGTCACAGTTTGCACGTCTCACGTGTACAGATAAAAATATCATTTACCTAATTTCGTGTAAAAAATGTGACAAACAATACGTCGGCGAAACCCAGAACGCGTTGCGAACTCGATTTAGCGGCTATCGCTTTGATATAATTCGTAGCAAAAATAGACCAATTTCTCATCATTTTGATTTACCTGACCATTCCATTGAAGACCTTCTTATCATGCCTATTGAATCAATTCCTGACTCTGATCTTATCAAACCAAAAACCTAACGATTACAGAGAGAAAGCTAACAGTGGCTCCAAATGGACTAAACATCCAGCATGATAATCAAATGATTCCATTTGTTGCCTTAATCATACAGCTGCCAAAACCTCATCCATCGTCAAACAGTATTACAGTGAATTACAGAACAGATTTCCGAATGTATATACCAAACGACTCGTAATTGCCTATAAGCGCAATAAAAACCTTAGTAATTTTCTGGTCTGTGGTAGATTCGATCCCATTGAATCCAATAATACTTGACCCCCCTCACTATTTTCTAGCTCATTAAGTATAATATATTCTAATCCTTATATATAGATGTTTATCTTTTCAGAACCTATTCATACTCTTTTCTTTTGGAACTGGTAACAAGAAAACTTTCATATTATAGACTTTCGTTTATTGTAGATTACTCCTGGTTGTTTTTTTAACTTAATACTAACTATGCTAACATCACCTTATCTTGTATTGAACATTTATCTCTTTATTTGTGACCTTGGCCAGTGCTTTACATAGAAGTTTTTAGGAACTTCTTAACACTAAAATAAAAAAAAATATCTGAAGAATTTCCCCTGAAAGTGTGTATTCCTCTTCGCGATGTGAGTAACTTTCACAGAAAATGTATTCCGTAGCTTTCTTCTTTAGCCTAATAGATGACATCCATCAAATTCAAACTGCAATCAGTCTTCACATGATTTTTCAATGAGTTTATGATCTTTATACTAAAAAGTGATTAGTAGTGGCAACAAATTATTATCATATACTCTAGTTCAAGAACATAGATTTGTTAATAACTAGTAAAATAGGTCATACTGCTTGAATTATTCTTCTGCTGATTCTCATCTTTATAAGCTACTAATAATTAAGGTATCTCATCATTTCATTATAGACTTGGTTAGTGGACCTTTGTAAATTATAATGATCTGTGGCAAAAACAAAAATCTCATATCAAACAAGCCTTGTGATTTTTAAGTAATTTATTTGATGATGGAATGATATACAATATTTCTTCATGTTACACCAGATATTTATGAGTCACAATATCTATATTTACAAAATATCCAAATATACAATATATATTTCTCACAATAATTAATATTAGCTCATCCATAGAACAGATACAATAATTTCGCGAATGATTTAGCACTTCCAGAAGTAAAAACACAGACTATGCAGTTGACTTGTAGTTATAACATTGTCACAAAGTTAATATAATCTGCTTTTGAGGAAATTTGATGTTGGGTTTTCACAAAATCAGTGATGAGTTTTTGACATAATATTTGCATACCTTTATTTTAAACAGAAGAACTCAAGAGTTTGAAATATGACTATATTGCCAACTGTTTAAGATATATATATTAGATATATACAATATAATATATACACTAGATAATTTGATTTTAATTAGTACGTAATTGGTAATCTCCATTCTGTGTGATGTATCGTACCCATGGTAATGCTTGATAACCACTCTTTTCTATTATCTTTAAATATCGTACCTGAATTACAAAAATATAAATAAGATTTTACTTGAAAACTACAAAATTAAAAGAAAGCCAGTTCACTTTGTTATGCGCGCAAAACCACGTTATGTTCCAAGGATTACGTCTATCAGTTAAATATTGTTTTCAACAATCATAATTATACTCATTTACAGCTTGGTCTTATAAAATAATAACAAGGTTTGCCTTATTTAATGTCACCTGACTTTTACTTTCTAATGTATATTGTATCTAATTGTATAATTCAAGACTATCCTTTCTCTTACCTGTATTCCAGAAACTGTGAAATATGGAATTTCAAATTTAACTTGAATTGGTGGTCGGCCTTCTGAGTCTTCAGTTTCTACACTTGGTAAACCAAAATGGGCTCTCATTAAATATTCCTTGCCACCCTGTAAACAGAAGAGTAAATTTTTCACTTGAGATCACTCACTACTGAGGCTTCTGATTTTCTCAATTTTCCACTTCAGTTTTATTTCCATAAACTTGATTTAAATTGGTGCCCATTACACATAATAAGATATTATGATGTAAGATATTCAATCAAGCTTTACTTTTTAATAATAATAGGGAAAGGTTTATAATAACTTGAAGGGAACATTATCACTTACAGAAAACTTTTTAAACCAATTTCAATGTGTGCAAGTAAGAAATTATCAAATCAGGGCACAGATCAAATGGGTATCTGTAGTACAATTGTTGCCCATTTCCAAGAAATATCAAAGACATTTATTCTATCCTGAAGTTCATATAGCCCATATTGGTTATTTGGGTATGATTTTATTAAATATAACTTACAGGGAAAGATTTAATACTCCAGATGACACTACTGATTTCAGGTGTATATCTACAGTTACCTACAGTTGTTTTAAATTTGGGTGAGTCGGCATCAGTTGGTACTGGTATAATAATCTCTACATTATTAGCTGTTGATCTTCTTTTAAACTGACTTTTGGCCTAAAATTAAAATGAAATGAGCATTAAGTTTTGCACCTTATTGGAAAAATGAAGGCCAATGAGAGAAATTTGCCAGGACAATAACACTGATACTCTGTCAAAATATCAACTGTCCAATGAGTTCAAGTCATATATGTCATTTCGTTTGATGAAAGACAAAGCTTGAAAAGTTATAATTGGTTAATCTCATAATCTATCAGTTGGTTCAGCACAGATCTTTATAGATGAAGAATTTACCATATAACAAACAAATCAACAGAACATACCTTGATCATATATTCAACACGGCTATGAGCATGTCTTTCTATTACTGATTCTACCCATATCAATGGTTTAACCTAAAATTACATATTTTATCATTAGGGTACATCATACCATAAACTTCATTCAAAATTACAAAATATTTTATCATTATATTTTACAAAAATCCATCAAAAGCATACCATACCGATAATGTTTAAAGTTATATTCATAATTTGAAACACATTGAAGCCCACTGAGAAAAACCTACAACCTGTTTAAACATACAGCCTTATATACTCAATTTATCTGTGATCTTACAGCTGACTAATTAGATAGCTCCTCCTATCTTCTTATACAAATCATTTTCAAAAGACTTACATGTGTATTGAGTCGATAAGACATTAATTCAAACTCTCCATCAGGGGGGATAAATGATATTGTCCTATCATTTTCAAATCTTGATAATCTTACACATTGATGAAATTTAACATCTTCTAATTCCACTGATTTACTCTTTCCTCCTCATAAAATACAAAAAAAACAAATCTAATTGCTCATAACTGTTCATAAAAATAGAAATAACAAATCTAATTGCTCATAACTGTTCATAAAAATAGAAATAACAAATCTAATTGCTCATAACTGTTCATAAAATCTAATTGCTCATAACTGTTCATAAAAATAGAAATAACAAATCTAATTGCTCATAACTGTTCATAAAAATAGAAATAACAAATCTAATTGCTCATAAAAATAGAAATAACAAATCTATTTGCTCATAACTGTTCACAAATAATTATTACAAAATAACCAATCTTATTGCTGATTACTGTTCATGAAAATAGAAATAAAAAATCTAAGTGCTCATAACTGTTCATAAAAATAGAAATAACAAATCTAATTGCTCATAACTGTTCATAAATAATTATTACAAAATAACAAATCTTATTGCTCATTACTGTTCATGAAAATAGAAATAACAAATCTAATTGCTCATAACTGTTCATAAATATAGAAATAACAAATCTAATTGCTCATAACAATAGAAATAACAAATCTAATTGCTCATAAAAATAGAAATAACAAATCTATTTGCTCATAACTGTTCACAAATAATTATTACAAAATAACCAATCTTATTGCTCATTACTGTTCATGAAAATAGAAATAACAAATCTAAGTGCTCATAACTGTTCATAAAAATAGAAATAACAAATCTAATTGCTCATAACTGTTCATAAAAATAGAAATAACAAATCTAATTGCTCATAACTGTTCATAAATAATCATTACAAAATAACAAATCTTATTGCTCATTACTGTTCATGAAAATAGAAATAACAGATCTAATTGCTCATAACTGTTCATAAATATAGAAATAACAAAAAGAAAGCTACGTACTTCCAGTACTTTCAAATAGAACCTTATCATTAAGACCAAGTCTTAATTCAGGCATACCAGACAGAAATACCCTCATCTTGATAGACCCTACAATTTCACTTCGTAATACATTTCCATTAGCACTAACCTAAAATAAATAATAGAATATAGTATTGTTATATTTCATGATTGACCTTCACAATCTGAAAATGGAAGGGTTATCCAATCTGAGTAAGGTATAATCAATTTATTTGGTAACAGACATGCAATTTATCAAATGAATGAGATCTCTTTGTACACTAAAATCATTCAAATACATGCGAAATAAAAACAGACTTGCCCTTTTACTTCCAAAGTGCAGGAAAAATCATATAGAAATAACTATTGTCAGCCTATGACCCTACTGAAGTTTGAGAAGTAGTCTAATTGAGATCAGATTGAAAGTTATCTTGTTGTACTTACCAATAAATTAACAGATTCAATAACATCTAAAAATACTTCATTTTTACGGTATTTGACCCCTTCTGATCTCCAAGATACAGCATTAGTTACGGCCATTGGTGGGCGCGGTGCTACTTCTAATTTATGACCTTCTTGGGTGATAAATCTAAAAATATGGAAGTTGTAAAAAAAATAAATTTTATTTCAATTATACCACTCATACCAAAATCAATCAAATGCTCTTTTTCTGTATATGCCTTCCTTATGTCTGAGGTATTAGGTCTCTAGCACTCAAAATTGGTTTGAAATTGGTTATAAGTTAGGTGAAATGTCCAAAAGAATGGCTGTACTTTAATCAAATTGTTTGTATATCAAATTGTTTTTATATCAAATTGTTTTTATATAAATTATTTTTATAAGTGTTGGGACCAGAATCTGAATATACTGTCAAATATCCTTCATAAAGACAGAGGTATGAAATTGGAATACACTGACTTTGATGAGCAAAAAGTACAAAGTAAGCAAGCACTGCTACATACTCTTGTAAAATTTTAGTATCTGTTGTTTGAGGGAAACCAAAATCCATCACTTCATCTAACAACTCATAAATACACACAAAGTTATCTCTGATACTCTCTTCTTCCATTTCTTTAAAATATTCTATAAATATCTACAAAATGAACATAAAGTTTATTTCTTGCATCTTTTTCTATCCAAATGATTACTTCATATTTCACAAACATTTACATAAAGATCTTTGTGGAAGAAATCTTAGAAATATCCTTCTAAACATGATAACTAGTTCTGTAGCGACAAATAAAGTAGGTAGTCTTCCTTGGTTAACGTGATTTTATTTATGACCCTTGTAGAAAGGCCAATTTATTTTTAATTTCTCCAAAAAATTTAGTAGAATTTAGAAAGAAAAATTTTAACATTCAGAGTTAGATTAATCATGTGACTTGATGCACTAAAGTTTTACAAAAACAATATGAATACGTTTCAGTCCTATATTATTCACTACATACAAAAATCTATTTATTTCTCCAAATTAATACTTCATAATTTCTTTGTACTAGAAATTCATTAATCTAGCTTACCTGAACTATTTTATGAAGAAAGGAAAAAACTAAAGCCACATTAGAATTTTTCTTTGATGTAGCTACACAATATAAGTTGTTGTACTTGATATATATAAAAGTGACATTATTATGTTCAATAATTGGTGTTACATTCCCTTCCTCTTCTTTATCCATTACAAGCGACATAAACTTATCAATAACAGACATATCTATATCTCCACGATAATTACGTGAAATCAGCACCTAAAAATATTATTATTTTATATGCTTATATATGGTCAAAGGGTTTTAAATAACTGACTACAGTTCAGACTAGCAAGTGTTGAAAATGGAGGTAAACTCCTATATCAAACTCCTATCAAATTTCATGTTGCCAAAAGCTTCAAACATGGTGTATTAAAACAGTGAATTTACACTGTGTTAAATTGAATAAGATCCTAGTAAACCTCATATAATGTCTGGTGTCTGATAAATAACATATTTAATTATAACTACCTTGCCCTTTACGTCACATATATACACTGCTGACGCTGACATGATGACTGTCTATATAAGAATATCTCAATCAAAAGCTATATTTTCTCTATCAAATCTGAAATGATGATAAAATTCATAACTGAAAATTCAACTTGTTATTTCTAAAGGGATTGCTCTTATCATACTTTAGGATGTGGAGTCCATGTTTCTTAAATATATAATCAAAGATTGGCTGTGAAGTTGTATCATACAAAGTTAGAGCTTTTCAAATTTCAACAGAAACATAAGTCAGGCCATTGCATATCATTTTTTATATCACGATAATTAAAAAAAAATGTTGTGTTGTAATTGATATTTTGATATTTTAATCATCTGACAGTATGTATAACAGTTTCAAACATAATGATTCTGATACCAGTATTCAGTCCATCACCCAACCCTTTGGGCAGTTCAGAACTGTTACTATAAAAGCTTAACTCCTTAAAATTAAGGAAAATTACGTCCTACTTTTTGACATCTTATTGGGCTAATGAACACCATGCAGTGTGCAATGAGGGAAATTTTTACCAGTATGGCGGCATTAGCCTTCTCGTTTTCGATTTACAACTGTTGAGGGATCTGTAACTTGATCAGCCTTGCGGCCTCGAATTAATTATTGTACCCTACAAGGTGTTTTTTTTTTGGACTTATTTATAGATCAAACATTGTACACGAAAATAAGTGACACATTTTGCCGCCGTTGCAGAGTTGGTTGCTCATGAAATATGGGTTAAAGCAAAGGATTCCATAAAGAAAATCGAAACAAACCAATTTTAATTATTTTGTAGAATATCTGAGGAAACATCTAAGACATAAAAATTTTTTTTCGTTTTTTTAACTTTGACGAAATTCGATGTTGAATCCTTATGTGCACGAAAATAGGTTACACCACTGTACTACTAGGCCTAGTGTGAAGTAAATGTTATGTGATGACTGACTGCAGAGTGCAGTGCAAAAATTTAAGACAGGGACTATGTCCACTTAATTAAAAACATTAAAAGAATTTAATTCAAGCTTCGCTCCACATAGCATAAATCGTTAAAAAAAAGACAAATAGAATTATATGTGATGAAAAACTCGAATTGAAATATTTACATGTATACCTATTTTTTTTAATAAATTACACATCAAACCGGAAATGAACAAGACGCACCTGCCAAGTAAGTACTTCCGCTTTATTGGGGCTGTTTCTCTATAGTTGGAAAAAAAAGTCAAGCCATTTTCTTTATTAAGATGAAATAATCACCTGAACTTCAGTAATACAATTTAAACCCATGGAATTCAAAAGATTATTGAAATGCACTCAATTTCTAGGAAATCAAGATCTTGAATTGACCCTGACCTTTCAAATGTAAATTGAGATTATAAAAACGAAACACAACCTAGTTGCCGGAAGTGTTAATTTTCTTAACCCTTCAAGGTAAAACTATGAAAAGATATTATGTTCATTCGAAAATTATATCGAACTTATTTGCTTTCCAACTTTCAAAGATCTTCAGTGTATCTATCACGTAGCTCACATTAAACCACTTTATTTGTCATAAAAACGAAACACAACCTAGTTGCCGGAAGTGTTAATTTTCTTAACCCTTCAAGGTAAAACTATGAAAAGATATTATGTTCATTCGAAAATTATATCGAACTTATTTGCTTTCCAACTTTCAAAGATCTTCAGTGTATCTATCACGTAGCTCTCATTAAACCACTTTATTTGTCTAATTTGTGAATTTGACAAGTTCATTGGAACCTTAGCCTTTAGCATTGAACTTACCCCCCTTTTCAATTTCCACCCCAGTGG